ATTGCCCTTCAATTTATGTCACTGTGAGGAATTATAATTTCCAATTTCCAATCAAATTTCTCCTTTGATTTCCAGTTACCGGGAAACATATCTGGGCATGTCTGCATGAGATTATCTAGATTGGGTCAATGCGGGTGAGAAGACCCTCCCTAACTATGGGCGGTGCCAGGTCATAGGCTGAGGTCCTCACCTGAGTGAAGAGAGGAACAGTGAGCTGTGCCCGCATGCAGTGTGGCCAGCTGCCGCGGGCGCCTGCCACCACAGCGTTCCTACCATGACAGACGGGGTATTCTGTCATAAGACATCTAAGCAATGCAAGCACTGTTGGGGGGCACAGAAAGAATGACTTTCCTCAAGAAGCAATCTACATGGGAAAGTTTCAGGAAATGGTTTTGGAGTGGCCTCATGAGCCGATAGAACGTGTAGACCTGTTATGTCTGCTGTAAGTAGACATAGTCTGAGGATTGCGTCTTGAGTCGTTGGCTTTCCAAGTCCTGCTGCTTCTCATACCTGATTCTCAAAGGAGCCTGTTTGGAGCCCTCCAGAGTATCCATTATGCCTTCAGCAGCAGCACACTGACTGTCTCTGGACTGCTAAAACCATGTCTATTTTGAGCAGCAGCACTTGGTTGCCACACTTGGACTGACACTGTGTTAGAGTTCTGTTGCCCACATCCGAGGATTCAGACTCTGGTACTTGTGATTCAGTAGATATAAGAGGTGGGAAAATCCGATTGATCTCACTATGTCACCAAACATATTACCACAGTTAATCTCATAAGACTGTGAAAGGAAATTAAAGTTGCCTTTGGCTCCCCATTGTAAGATCTGACTGGAATTTCACCTGCCTCTGTAGCTCACTATAGGCAGCAGCGGGAAGCCTTCAATTAACTGTACTGCTTCTATTTGTAGTACAAAGGATCTATGGCTTAGACTTGCCTATATGACTTAAAAGAAAAAAAAAACACCTCAACTTGATCTTAACAATATCCCGAAGTACAGCCCCAGAGAACAGGGCCCTCAGGGTCAGCTACAAGCTCAGAGGACAGTAACTAACTCAAAGGCAGCGGGGTCGTAGGTGACCTTTATGAAGCATAATGCTGGTTCCTTTGAAAGAAATGCAAGCCACACGGCAGAGCCATAGTCTGCATTCCAGAGATTGGAACAATAAAACGCACAACATAAAATGACTTCATAGGGAAAAAGACGGGGTTTTTAGATGAATGGGAGTTGGATGGTTTCGGGGTTAAGTACACATTAAGATGAAATTGGTAATGAAATGTCACTTCTGTGTGATCCTTGGTCTGGCCCTGGGTCTTGAACTAAAGTTATTTTTTTTTTAATGAATGTCAGAAGAATGGATTAGGGAGTTGTGGTAGTTCCGCCATTTCCCTCTTATCCATTAAAGCTACAGCATATGCTATTATTTGAGAAAAATTAAACTATCGTGTTTTACAAAATTCTGGTTAAAATAGAATATTAATAGAATTGCCTCTGCTATTTCAAAATTAAATGAATTACTGTTCCTGAAAGGTTAAACTCTGAGAAAACAAGAGAAGAATATCTTAGTTGTATCACAAAGTTAGGTTTAGAAGTAAATGTTTTTAAGTAAATACTGGGAGTTGACATAGAAGTTATATGTGTGCTAATTCTGAAAAAAATCCTCCTCAGTTGTCCATGTTAATGTTCAAAATTTCAAAATCAGTCTAAAATTAAGGTATTAGGTCATATTTTCTTATAAGTTAGCAATTAGTTTCAGTAGTTTTTAGAAGAAGAATAAAATTGTAAGTAACCAACATGTGAATTTCCTGTTCGAATTTATACATGAGGTATTTGAATGGTGGAATTTTTAAATATATTTTGAGTCATAAGACTACATGAAGGATAAATTGATAAGTGCTTTTTATTTAAATTTATTCTTATTATAACTCTCTATGCAGATTATTTTTCAGTGAAGACTTTCCTAAAAAGAAATTTGAATGAAAATCTATTTTCCAGGAAGTAGTTTATTGAGATTAAGTCAGTCTTCTTGCTTCTGTGCTAACTTTCCATGTCTTGAATAGAATAATTACCCTGTGAACTCATTACATATCTCATAGGTAAAAATATTTTAAGAAATTATGTCTGAAAGCAATATACTTTTGTCAGTTCACACATGCTTCTGATGGGTTTTACGCTAGTGACAGACATGTAAGCAGAGATGGGACCATGAGTGTGGGTCTTGGTATGGAAACCGAAGGTTCAGTGTGAGTGGCTGTTGGTTCCTCTCCATCCTCTGCTTTCTTCCATTCTCAAGGCCTCCTTATTCAGGATAGGATGTGTCCTCAAAGCCACATGTTATCACAGGGAAACTCTAGAATTAAACCCTTTTACCTACAGCCCTCCCGGCCATCAGCATCCACTTCGTACCAGTGTGATGATTCTGTCCTTCCACCATGTCAGTATAGAGTCTCAAACCTTGGTCTGAATGTAAATTCCATTTTCTGGTCTGTCAAACACTGACAGAACAACAGGGAGAAGAAAATGTCTCTACTTCAGAAGAAAACTGGTGAGTGGAGAGGAGAAATAACCAGAGATCTTCTGAGCACCATCCAGGTGCCTTTGAGATGACCGTGCAGGGAAAGGTCCCCCTCAGTTGCTTTGTCTTCTTTCCCTTTCTTGTCCTTTCTGAAGATCTCCTAGGCATGATAGGTGAAGGCAACTCAGAAGATGATGAGAAACCGGACAAGAAAAGTGGCCACAAGTGATGGCTCAGACCAGAATGAGAACACTTTGGCCCATTCCTTTCCTGAAGCACTTAGTTTGGTAGAAGAAATTCTCTGAGATGACCAACCCTGTCGACAAGGTCGATGCCTGTGGGACTGGGGACCATAGAGAGTCAGTGCTTAGGGTTTGGCTGTGAAAGGAACTAAAGACACCTCCTGTAATGATGTCGGTATAACCAGGAAGAGACCTGACTACCTGTGTACTTATTTATATTAGAGAGTAACCAGGAAGAGACCTGACTACCTGTGTACTTATTTATATTATAGTATAACCAGGAAGAGGCCTGATAACCTGTGTGCTTATCTATAGTATAGTATAACCAGGAAGAGACCTGACAACCTGTGCTCTTATTTATACCATGGTCTAACCTACTAAGGTAGTTCTTACACAGGCTTAATTTTTCTCGGCTATTTCTTTAGTTGTTTTTAAAGTGAAGTCATTCTTATATTGTTGAAGAGATTTCTTGAACTAATGAGATTCACCAATGATTTACAGTTTTTTCTTGATCTCTATTTCCAGAAGGTATATCATGGTTCCTCATGATGTCTGTTAATAGGAATGATAAAATCCAAGAATTTTCTGTTTATCACAGTTCTTATTTATTAAACACTGACTTAATCTTTATTCAATTTTTAAAATTATAAGCAGTAAATTTAAATGTTCTATTTAGTTATCTAGGAATGGTATGATTTTGAGATAATATTTATTCTACTGAAAGCATCATTAATACCCTGGAGATATTGCTCCCAAGGTTAGGAGGTTTGTTTCTGTGAAGCCAGCCAACAACATGGCAGCTCCCATCACATAGTGCTCAGTACGGCCTGCCTGGAAGCCACGTTTAGTGATGGGCCAGCGATGTGTCTGACCAACAATGTGTGCTGACCTTCCATCTTGTGAGATGACATCAATTTTAGCTAATGCAAAACATTCTAGAGAAAAAGAGGAAACTCTTTTTGAAAAGGCCTTGAGAGGGTATGAAATTTCCTCTTTTGACATTCATTGACCTTTTACTTCAACGTTTAGAAATAGGGCATTGCTCATGCATGGTGAGCTCACCACTGGGCTTCCCCAGCCTTCTGAGGGTTTCCCCCAACGTCAAGTCAAGATGCATGTGCTTTGTGTATATGTATGTGTGCTTGTATAGATATGTGTGTGTGTAGATATAACACTAAAATGTGTTAGTAATTCTCTCTCTCTCTCTCTCTCTCTCTCTCTCTCTCTCTCTCATCAGTACAGAAATGTTTAAAACAAAAAGGAAGCGCCTTCAACCTCACCTGTTTGCTCCCTTCTCCTACTCCCATACTATCCGGTTTGAATAATTTCTTAAGAGTGATAACTTCTACAGTTCTATAAATTATTAGCTCAAATTATTGTCTTCTGATTTCAAGATATCAAAAATTATTTTTACAATTGTTATTTTTGTACAAAAAGTGGCCAGCACCAGTAATCTGGGCACAGGAATGCTCTTCCCTGGCCTTTGGCTAGGAGAGGGTGTGACTCTCTGAGCACCTCGAAATGCAGTAAACACTAGCTAACCACAAACAACGCGTCCATCTACTCTTTAATGAACGTGGTTGTACTCAAATTACCATCGCAGTTGGAAAATAAGAGTTCAGACCTTAACACAAATTACAGGAAATAGTGGAATGACTTTTTATTTCTTAGGCCCTTCTTTTCTGATGAGCTAGTGTATTTAAGTACATGTTCCCAAAATGTTATATTGAAAAATAACTTCTGAAAACTTCCTTTTACTCTGTGGATAATAAAATCAAATTTAACGCATAGCATTTACGTTGGTTTTTTGACAGCCTCTAACAGGTACAGTGACATATTTCTCATAATTACAAAAACGGAAAGGAAGGAAATTAAGGCCTCCATGTGCCTGTGTAAGCACGGCAAAATGCCGTCCCCTCTCTGGCTGCACTTCTGCTGTTGGATGGCTTTTTATATATAAAACAAGTTCTATATATAAAACAATGTCACATGGTTATAAATATATTGATTTTGGTGCAAAAAGATGAAGAACATATTTTAAAAATTGATGTATGATGAAATGCCAGTTCTTTTTGTTTTGTTAGAATGTTTGTGATTTCTAAAGAAAAATATAAAACAGGTCTTTTAAATTCATAGCTTTATTTCAAAGAATTAAGATAGTTTGATACTGAGTTTTCAAATTCCCCCTGAATTAACACCGATGCCATGATTGTCATTCTGACACCATGTGTTCTCGGACAGTAACAGTAGAGCTGGCTGCCAAGGAAACCCACTGATACGGAGCTGATCTATCTACAGCTGTGGCTTTAGTCCTGGTGTGATGACGTTGTAAGTATTCATATCCACACACATTCGTTGCTTTGGTGATAGCTCATCCGTCCTAACCTCTGCTACCCAATCTCTTTTTTATCAGTAACAAATGCCATAGCACAGATTGTATTAGAAACATGTTTGAAACCACATTGCATTGAGTTTACAAGTGTTCATCTAGGGTAAGCCTGCACGCTCATTAAGCAAGCAAACATTTCTTCCTATGTCATAACCATTCTGATAAAACCGAGTACTACTTTTTAAATTTACATTCCAGCTACATAGAACGGAGTGGAGGAAATTAAGAGGGTGATTACACATGGACAAGGGGTCATCAAGAAGAAATGATAAGCAGAAGCCAAACTTCTGGGCAGGAACTTCTAGCAGAAGCTTTAGGTGCCTTGGCCAGACCTCCCAGGCCGTGTCATTTGTAGTTTTTCTGAGGGAGGGACTCTTGTGGGCATTGATTCCCCTGCCTTAGGGCGTCCTCTGTATTGAAAGGCCTAGACCATTTGCAATACAGGTTTAAAGGTAAGGAGAGAAGGAAAGCTGCCAGGTGGAAGTCTGCTGCCGCAGCTGTCAAGAGCTCATCCTGTCCCATTGTCCTTACACCGGGAATGTCTAAGAGTTCGTCCTAGGGTAGTGAGTGGAGGGCCCCGGGATGATGGAGCTCCAGTCCTGCATGCTCAGGACACACTGGCTTTCTTGTCTGCCTTCCTGTGCTCTCATTTCTCAGAATCAGCTCCCAAGTAAACATTTAGATTTTTTAACTTGGCACAGGAGAGTGTAAACTAAGAAAGAACTATTTTGATTTGGGAAGCAATTATATATCTGGAGGTACAAAATAGTAAAATACTCAATTTTCAGGCTGGCCTATAATAAGTGAGGAAATATTGTTATTTTCTGTACATTCTATCTTATAATTCAAGAGCTATGTGTATATTCAAGAAAGATTTGTACTGAAAATAGCCAATATATTGCAGTCCCAGCATGTGACCTTGACTTATGTGAAAATTTAAACCATATTGAATGATTCATCTGATTAAAATTCTGGGCATCCAAAGTGCTATTGTGCTAATGAAAACATATATGTGAGTGTTACAGGATTTTGAGGCAATAAGAGATCATTAGCTTAATAATGTTCAGCCAAAGCCCTACCTGAATCTCAGTAAATTTAAGGTGGTATGGTTGCAGAGGTATTAATAAAGTCAATTATAGTTCCTACATCCATAGACTATAAAAGTCAATCCTAGTTCCTATACCCATAGACTATCCAATCTCCCAACAACCAAAGGTTGCTTACCCAAGTGCTTGTCCCTTGCACACTGATAGCTGCTAAGCTCACTGGAACCCTCCATCCCCATGTAGGCTGTAAGGGGTGGAAAACACCTTTCTCTTGAGGACTTTCCTGTGCATGCTCGGGATGGGGATAAACTCTACTCATAGTAGTATGGTCATAATAGCCCCCTTAAATTAGTCATGCACTTCCTGAGATTAGCACATAGAAAAGGGAAAACCACCAGGTTATGGTGGGGAAGGCAGCAGAAACTGGTTTAGTGAGTGATCAAGACTCAGGTGTCTTTAGTGCTTGCATTGGTGTGATAAGATGGGCCCTTCTTCTCAGCTCCTCCCTTTTCCAGATGCCCTTCTTAGGTCCCACCGTGAAGAGGCAAGCACACCAACTCCACTGTGTCTCCTGAAGGGGTAAACAATTCAAATCAGGGCCATCAGTCAGTAAACAGTCTTATGACAATGCCGATTCTAATTCTGCCCATTTCAGTTAAGATGCTGACGTTAGGAGACACTCATGTAAAGTACAAAGTGCTATGTTGGATGTTTTATTTAAAATCCCAATTTATTCTCCCTCAAAGTAGTTTTTTGTTTAAGCTGAAAAAAAAGCATAAATTGTGCAAACACAGAGCAGTGTGTCTTAAAGCTTTGTGCCTGCAATGGGGTGGGGTGGGATCGGGAATTGGATGTGAAGGGAGAGCTCTGCCTTTGGTTAAAGTTACGATTTTATAAATGTGTATGCCTGTACACTCAAGAAGTCAATTTTACAGCTTGTCTATTTTAAAAGCAATGCTCCATAGAGGAAGACGGTGGGTGGGGAGAATGAATACCTTTCATAGAGAAGGCAAGAGAAGACTGAAGTTTGTAGAAAGGATGGAATGTGGCCTTCTTACGTACGACTGCCATCTGATCACAATCCGTCCTTAGGATGTTTGTTTATTCTTTTGCTTAATAAATATTGATGACACCAAATGATGACTTGTGCACTAGGCTTGAAGTAGGCAATCTTTGATATGTTCCAGGTGCTCAAAGAAACCCCTGGGAGGAGGCAGGGTATCATACACTTTTTAAAGGGCACCTGTGACAAGCCACAGCCTGGAGACTAAACAGCACTGAGATAATGTCAGTATTTTAAAAATTAGATTTTGATAATGCAGGTTCAGGGTGAGAGAGGCATTGCTTTTAAAATGGAGCTTCCGAGAGCTTAGAGGCAGTGAGTGCCCTTGTCTGAGCTGTGACTGTAATATTCAGGAAAAGCAGGAAGATTAGCGTTTAAAGGTGTGGTGTTTTTGTTTAAACTTATTTTGAAATGCTTAATATTAAAGAGTTTTAACTATCGGTAAACCCGGCTACATGCGTTATTCTGTATGCTTCTTCCAGGAACTCTAAGATAACTCTAGTCTACCTCCCAATTTAGAGTAAAGAAATGGGCTCACCGAGCTTTATGTGCTTAATCTTTGTCACTAGCAAATGTGATCAGACAGGACTTGAACCTAGGTTTCTGCTCCCAAACGTGCATCCTGCCCCACTAAATGTTTGGCATCTATAGTGATGGTCATTAAACTTTTCCACATGGAGTAAAAATAAAATGTTTCAATTGTCAATAAAACCTCATTTAAAACATCTTCCAAAGCCCATATGGTAATCTCAGTCTCCCTTCCCTGGAGGCAAAGCTTTTGCTGTGTTCTGGTGAACAGGGCTCCTTGCCATCTGTGCATGGACCTCTTTGCTGCCCGCCAGCATCCTGACCTTGCATCCTGATGTGCCTTAAAGATTCCAGGGAGGTGAGGGTCACAGTTACCTTCCTGATGAAACATCGCATCCGTCTGTGCCACACCTCTCCTCCTGGCAGTGCCCGTTTCTCAAGGTGGTAGGTGACGATTCTATGGCAGGAACAATTGTCATCCCCACACCTTTTCCTTTGAGACACACTCACTTTGTCTCGTGGCAGAGTGTTCGGCTCTTGGGCATGTCTGTGCACCATGTGTATGGTGTGTGTGTCCTGTCGGACAGAACTGAGGTCTGACAAGGCCCTCAGATCAGCAGGAGCTGCAGTTACAGAAGATTGGGAGCAATTTCTTCAGCCCATGACCTACTTTTTAATATATATATATATATATATATATATATATATATATATATATATATGCTTTTCTATTGCTAGAATTACATAAATTGTCCAAAACAATCTCTTCTGTGTCTTTAATGACCCACATTTGCTTGCAAGCATTTTGGTGGCAAACATTATAAATTATATGGGATTTTGTTATGAAACATTTTTGTTGGAACGAAAACAAGATTTCAATTTTCCTATACAATTACTAAAAAACACGGGTCCTTTGAAAACAAATTCTATGTGTCTAAGCGTTCATATGGTGTAGTCTTTTAATTCAGAAAAAACTTAATAATAAATTTGATATTGAGCTGCCAGTGAGTGGGGTTTTAGAGAACAGCATATGTTCACAGCGACTCCATATTGTTTATACCAAATCTCTCTCTCTGGCACTGGTAGTGTTTCTGAGATCCAAATTCCACATAGCGAGCATATATATCCGCTTAAATCAATGTTTTCAAGTCCCCGTGCCATTCACATTTTTAGTCTGGCCAGTGCTTTGTGGCAGGCAGGGTGCTGCCCAACAGTGTAGACTTCTCAACAGCTTCGCTGGCCTTCACTCCCGCCTCCTGCCACAGGACCACTTCCCTTCCTGGGGAGAGGATTAACAAAGGCCTCCAGAAATTGCTGGAAGGACCCTGGGACAACGAACCATCTTCACATGGGAAGATGTCCTGAGACTCATGACGAAAACGCTCTAGATCGATAGTGGGTACAAAGTGAAGCTCAGCTCCTTTAAGAAATTTTCTGTTAGATAGGCTGAACTCTACATCTGAGCAAACATCACCTCCATCTTCAGAACATAGTGAAACTCTTCTACACCTCCTTTTCCCCATCTGTAAAATTAGTTTTAATTATTTATAGGACTGTTTTAAAGATTAAATGAGCTACTATATATAGATCTCTTTGACCAGAATGGACTTAAATTAACCAATGTTTACCATGAGAAAGGAAGGCTGTTAAATGTTAGTGGTATTCATAGTACAGGAAAATTCTTGCTAAAAATATGTGAGACAATTAAAAAAAGATTACCAAGTAACAGTAAACACATAAAACAAAGTTGAATTTCACTATAAATAGGAAAATCAGAAATAGATTCATGATATACAGTTTAAATATTAAAGTATGAAATATTCAAGGTAATGTTGAAAAGCATTTGGCAGATAGGCTCATTTTACTGGTGGAGAAAGTGAATGGCCAGGTTCTTTCTGCAGAATCATTAATGCATGATTTAGAGCAGGAAAGCATTTATAAGCGCTCTCACAGTGTTGATCTAGCTCCAAAGTTTACCCTGAGGGAGTGATGTACTCAAAAATTAATAAAGAAGTATGTAGATTACACTGCTGTCACTAGTTTTTATGGTGGCAAATTAGAAGCAATCAAAATCTCAGCAATAGTGAAAATATGAAATAACCCATGGCGTATTGATGCCACATATTGAATATGCTTGTTTTCCAAAGATGTTTAGTAATTCGAGAGAATGTTCTGGCCTTGGTATTTCTTACTTCAACATTGTCTAATACTCTGAAGATACTGGTGTGGAAGAGCATGCGTTCACGGTAAGACACCCTTCAACATTCTGTCTGACAGTCCTTTAGTCTCTAGGTTCCCATGC